AATTCATTTTTTTTGCACACATTTTTTTATGTCATATCATCATTTATTCGTATTTTCTGAATCCATTTGAACACAGTGTAGCTTTAGTTACCCTCACACTTCATTTGATTACAGTATACTTCAGTTTATTGTACTATGTTTCATTTCCTCCTGACTTGTGTCTATCTGTACTTTCTTTCTCGTTCCTCTATGAGTTTGCGCTTCAGAACGCAAACGAGCGAGCAGCCATTCGGCGTGACTCGTGTTTAACTTTCTGCCTGTTGCTTGACTGGCGCCGCAAATAATAAACAAAGTAGTTGCCTTCAGTCATGAAACTGCTGCTGTTGCAGACGCGAGGTGCTTCGTGCAAACAAAAACAAACACAGAGATTAGAACAAATATAAATAAATAAATGCTGATTAAACGCTAATTAAAAAATAAACATCAATCTTATCTTTTAACATTGCTAGAGCATTTACGGTCATATTACTTAATGTATTGGGTATTTTGTATTTTCTAAAAGGGGTTTGAGACAAACTGGGAAAAGGTCAAAAACGTTAATCAAAACACAAACACACAACAGCTCCTGGCATGGATGAGTAACAGTCTGAGAGCATCTTCAGGCCAGTCTGTGTGCTGCAGACTCTTCTGAGATTCACTGCCTGCCTCGTTTACATTCCTCAGTCCAGACTGTGTTGTTGTGAATCAGAGTCCAGGTGAACTCTGCCGACTTTGCCCAGGGACTCGACTGCAGTTAAAGGGGCGGAGGTCTATTTTGCCTGCTTGCCTGGGCAAATGTCGAGCGTCCGGTCGTGTGGACACAGGGATTGACAGATATTTGCTGTTGTTTAGTGAAAACCGACAGGAACACTTGGGAGGTTAAGACACTGCTGACTAATAACAGTCCAGACAAATGCTAAGTAGTCAGCTTGTACATGACTATTTTAGTGGGGCATTCTTGGCTATTTACATTACAGAATATGAGAAAATCAGCTGCTCAGAGGCTCACTGAAGAATTTTAGCCACTTCTCTGCAACATATGTAACAATTCTCTCTGCAGTTTTCCACATTTAGACGACGCCATCAATCATCTGGCACATATGGAGAATTTCCAGAATGACAAAGATAGACAGGCAGACAGAAGGCAAATCAAACATATCACCAACCACAAACAGACACCAGCTCCTTTGGGAGAAACGCTGTGTTCCACTGAGACTGAGATCCCCCCCCCCACCTCCATAAATGACAGTTTAAGCAGCGGTGACAGAACCATGCAACGCCAGGCGTGACAGTCAAAAGAGGAAGACTGACATTAAAGAGCAGAGGTCTACCGCTCATCTCAAATTACAAGTATTTTCATTACAGATATTGTGACGTATTAAATAAACATTCGCGGTGCCACGTTCCTTCTTAACATCCTGTTTCAACATGGCACATTAAAGAAAGAAAGAGGTTCTAAAATGCTCTGTCACTGCAAAGTAAAACATCTTCCTACCCCCGTTTAAACGCATGATTTGGTCTGCTTCTCATAACAGCCAAAATGCAAAACTACAAGCATTAATAACAGAATTATTGCAGTTTTTGCAGTTTTCAAATTTCCTTTCACTTACTTGGTGAAGGGCTGATAAAAAAAATAGGTATGATCCTTATCTTAGTGGAGGGAGGTGGAGGGATGTAAATCAAGATGGCAAGTCAACATGGTGGCTCTACAAAGCAGTGCCTGCTCCTTTGTATTCTTAAAGGTTTAATTCTAAGTTTCTGAGACTGCATCTTTAAATAATATCCTGGATTCAGAGGTTATTTGTGTGGTTTCATGTAAGAACTCAACCTTTGCTTCATGACTGTACAACTCCTTAAAAACCAAACACAAAAAAAACCAACATAAGACTCTTAGATCCAATAGAATACATTGGCCAATATTTAGCACGGTGCTAAATTTGAGTATGCAAAGCCAAGTTTTATTTTAATGTTAAGAAAGGTGATGTCATGTTTCTATTGCAAGAGCAAGAAAACAAAATCTCCAAGATTGCACCAAACCTGTGTTAGATCAACACGGGCTATGCAGGCTGGTTATTGCCTCATGTTGAACTACATCACTGGCTCCTGACTGGTTAGACCAACCAGTCTATCCAACCCAAGAACAGTGAATATGGGGTTAAAAAAAGAAGCCTAACCAAAAACTGCAGTTCCTCTAATGTCCCCTTGAGCCTGCCTCCGAAACGGAGTGAACTCCCCTCGACTCCAGCCTATAGGTTCAAGTTTGGTTTCTATTCCTCATCCAGCTGCACTTTCGAATGTATATATTGTTTTAAGGCACGACGTTTAATGCAGTGGAAATGCATGTTGCAGTGATTGCAGATGCACCTTGCTAACTAAGCCAAACGACAAGTGCAAACATTAGCAAACCCTGTCAGCTGACATTATCACATCAGCTGTCAATGAGCGAGCTCATGTTGACTAATATACTGTATTTATAAATCTTATTTAGTACAAAGTCTGGATATTTAGGCAACTGAAGACTGAAAGTGGTCTATATGAAACAGACAATTGTTGCTAAAAGCAGAAGCTATACTGCACTGGTGTTGCCCCCTTGGAGGTTATGACTGTACACTCACCAGATCCTTCAGAGCGCCCATCACTGCCTATCAGCGGCACCGTAATGGCTGCTGTGGCGACACCGTCAGTAGGCATGGTGGTGTAGACAACAGGCAGCGACTGCACCACCACAGGGATGGTCTGCAGCTGACCCACCTTGCTGGGCATGGTCACTGAGGGGATTGTATGGATAACGTGGAGAATCTGCTGGCCTCCAGCGCCCTGCGTGGCTAAGATGGATCCTGGAGAGAGGACCTGGAGAGAAAAGAAGCGATGAAAATGAGTGGTTGTAACTCTACCGCGCCTTACACTTCTAAATCCACAGAAGGTAGGAGTTTATAGTTACCATGGAGCCTATCGATTGTACCGCAGAGGGGACAGGTGTGGCTGACAGGCTGGGCTGGGTCACAGCGCTGCTGGGAGCTGGGTTGACTGTGGTGCTCGTTGTCGAAGCGGAGCGAGGTTTGTTGAGCGAAAGGTCAACGGGCTCAGTCTGGTCCTCAGTGGGGCTCGGATGAGGCGAGGAGGGCTCCGTCTTGCACTCCTTCTTCACCTTCAGGTCTTTCGGCTGTGAGCCGTCATCACCTATATCTGCCTGCTAGAGAGGACACGGTGGACAAGAAGATATAAGAAAAGGTTAGAAAGAAAAGGACTAAGCGATAACTCAGCTTCAGCAAACTAAAGTTGACTGGTTTTATTCCAGATTTTACTCTAAACCTGGCAACTTATATCCTCAACATAATTTGATTTTTATTCTCAAAGGAGAGCGATCTGATATATTAATTAGAAGCAGTAATCATAGTTATGTGTAGCATGCCAAAAAAGAAAAAATGCTAATGCATGCTGGTTTATTGTTTAAAAAGTCAGCAGGAGCCAAACAACCCACAGTAATGAACACAACAGCAGAGGAAACAGTAGTTAAACAGGGACCTAATATTACACACTGATACAATGGTAGATGCTCATTTTTACTGTTGTTTGGGGCAAAAATCAAAAACAAGTAGCTTAAGAGCCTGAAAGAGAGAACTGAGGCAGTGGCTACATCAAGGCCCATCAAGCTGTAAGATTACTGGAGATTATTCTGAATCGAATCATGCAAAGCTACTCTACTAGAGTCCATGCAAATACAGCGCTGGTTATGAATACAACAGGTGACCTTGAATCTTTGTATCTCTCTCTGCTTTGCAGTCACTCTGTGTGTTACATGGTCATGGCAAAGAACACCATTAATGCATATATTTGTGAGCAGATAAGGTGTAAAATACTGGGCAGGATGGAAGAGAAACACTGCTGGTTGTCATCAGGACCATCATTCAATGTGCAAATAACAAATAACTCAAATAACAAATGCTATCAATTTTTGTGTAAAACATTCACCAAATTTCACCAGGAAAAACCAAAGTGTGCACTTTCATCAATATTCACAAGAGTAGAACAATTCATTGTCCGACTCAAACGCAATGCCAGGATCATATTAGGAAATATGATGGTATACTTTTATCACAGGCTTGATACATAACGAATGATGCTGAGACTCGTGGGTACTGTAGTAGTCAGACGCGTCAGCCATAGGAGAAGAATTTAAAATATAATTAAAAGAAAATTATGGAATGAGAGATGCTTCTGCAACCTCCTCAACCCTTTGGGCATACATCTTTCATGGCCTGACCTCATTCTTCAGTGAATGAAGACAGACAGCGATTGGTTAAGGTTTGCTTTGAAGAAATGCTTCATGCAAAGGAAAATGCTTTCTTATAACAGGCATTGTGGTTTTTCATATTGTCCCTTTGCATCTACAGCAAGCCAGGACTCGGCTGCCATGCAGCTCGAAAGCACAGGGAACAATGGCTGCAGTGTGGTACACTGGGTGGGGGGGCGGAGGAGAAAGTGAGGGAGACAGAAGAGAGTGAAGGGCTGCATGGGTACAGAGAGAGACTGGTACTGTGTGAGAGGGAGAGAGTTAAAATAAAAAAATAAAAAAGACACAGGAAGAGTGAAAGAGACACGGGAGAACTGGAGCGAGAGGGAGCAGCAGCGAGCCTCCAGTCCGGGAGTTGGCCTCCGTCCAGTTCAGCTGAGCACAGTTTGGCTCTGGGTGAGGAGGAGAGGGTGGAGACTCTGCTACGCCCTTTTATCGGGTCACACAGTTCAGCTGGAGGCTGTGGCAGTGGCATCGGCACAAATATAAGTGGTAAACAACTTTCCCCTGTCGGTGAGCGTCATGTCCAAATAGCCAGAGTTACAACAGAGCAAACCTGTTGTTCTGCTTTTTCCCCCTTTTTACAGCATTACAGGACACGTGAAGATTTAAAATAGATTAGCGTCTTGATTTTTGTTTGTAGATACGATTTGCAATGGTTAATCCATATCAATGCTCACCTTCTACACTGTGGTCTAATGCAGTGGGCTTGAACAAGCAAAAAAACAAAACAAAGTAATGAGCGAGGAAAGGAAAGGAACATGCCGCACCTGCGTGAAACTCGGCTTAGGTGAGGAGGGATTTAAGGAGCACTTTATAGGCAAATAGGAAAAAGAAAGGAGAGAGAAGATGAGAAGGTAGGACAAAAAAAAAGAGAGGAGATGGGCGAAGAGAAGCTGGGCTGTAACGTGATTATACTGAGACGGTCTTTAAAAAAAGGGAAAAAACTGAAAAGAAAATGAAGTGTGAAAGAAGTGAGGGAGTGGGTGAGGCACAGAACGAGACAGGAGAAAGAGAGAGAAAGAGAGTGGGTGGGAAAGGCCAAGCGTTGCCATGGAAACTGGGAGCCATCAGCTGACTCCATGTTTTTCCACTCGTTCCCCACCCACCACCAACTCCCTTCCATTTCCCTCCCGGTCCACTCGTCTTTCCATTGCTTCAGCCCCGCCTCTCCTCACTCCTTTCTTTTCGCTCTATCACGACCACACCCCTTTCACCTTTCTCTCTCTCTCTCTGTCTGTCACATCCCTCCTCTCCTTCCAGCATCTCTCGCTCTTTACATCAACCACACCCTTGTTTTTCTTCACCACCTCACCCTTTCATCCCTCACTGGCTTCATTTCTACCCACTCGCTCTTTTTTCCCCCCCTTCTTCTTCTTTTCGATTTTCCTCTCCCCTCCACTTTTCCTCTTTTCACAGCTGCTCAGATTAAACCCACAACTCTGTGCGAAATCCTCAAAAGAAGAGACTGAAAGGCTGAAGTCCAATATAAAAAAAAGAGACAGAAAAAGAAAATAAAACCCCCTCCGGATGCCCGCGAGCTCTGATCTCAGAGGAAGGGAGATGGAAGGGAAGAAAGAGGGGCCAAAAAGGAAGAAACACTTTCTATGAAGACAGAGTGATTAGCTTAAGAGCGAGGATGTAAAAGAGCTCTTTCCTCACAATTTAATATCCCGCTCTGCGTCAAAGCGGTGGCTTTGTTTCCCCCAATAAATGTCCTTGATTAAATGTATAAACTATTCTCCTATTTAAAAGTTTTTAAGCCACACTTTGCCATCGGCTTTGGTTTAAGCTCTTGGTGTTTTTACTATAAAAGTCAAAAATGATCTTTCAATCCTTCGGTCAGAAACTGATATTCAGTTGCAGAGAATGCATATTATCGATAATAACACAGCCAGGTTTCATAATACAGCATCAGTATATTATAGTATGGATCAATCACCCAGTAGTATTTTCAAATACCATTGATGTTTGCAAATAGTGAAGAGCTGATAGACTTTTAAAAACAGGAAATCTGAAGGACATCATTTCTGCAAGTCAGGATTTCAGGACAGTTTTTCTGAAATGTCTGAAGCTCGACCTTTTTTTTTTTTTTTAAGGGAATGAACAGCAGAAACAGTTTGTGTTTGGACACTGGCACAATTTGAGCTCCGTATGCCACCACAAAAAATTTGTAAAGTATCAATTAAGCCGAAACTGAACAGCTCACTTTCAGTTTAAATTCAAAACTGCGATCGAAACAAAATGTTAATGTTTATAAGTGCGTGCAGGAAATGCCCTTCTGCCTGGAGTCTTCCTTTCCTCCCTCAGTAATGCTCCACTGGACTGAGATCAGGAGATTTACTAAGAATCATCTTCCTTCATAAACTTTCGGGCTGCTAAAATCTATTGCGATGGCTGCAAAATTACAAACACCGTGCGACTGTCCGAATATTTCCAGCATGAATTGCATGTAAATATGAATAAATGATGGCTTAAAGAATTTAGGCAGCTTCCTCTAGATCTCTGCACGAGGTCGTTAAAATGACACGATGGCAACAATCTGCCACACAAAGCTGCAAGCCTTTAAAAAGTGAACCCAACATGTCAGAACGATACACGGAAAAACCTTTACTGTAGCAGTGGAGCTCCGTACCCCACACACACACACACACACACCCTACACTTCTCAGTTCATCTGGTCCATCATAAAATGGGTCACACAGTGTTCGCCGTGCAATTAATTCATGTGATCTCTAACTTGAATGAAAGTGGGGAGCAGCTGTAGTGGTGAGGAAGCCCGGCAGAGAGAAGAAGATGTAAAATGTCCAGAGGACTTTAATCCCGGCTTCATACAGATCAAATCATGAGCGATTTGCAGCTGCAATGCAGCTCAGCTATAAGTAACCTCATGTGTTACTTATAGAGAGGACACTGCGTGGCGATATTTTTGAGTACACAAGCAGGGAATTATTTACCAACTCGATCAAATGAAAAGCACACTTTCTGGCTGTCTAACAAAGAGCTAACAGGTGACGCTAAACATGAGAGGTAGACTCCTGACAGGCCGATCATGCTCGACTGTCAGCAGCCACATAATTTATTGATGTCAAGTTACATGACAAGTGGGGTAAACTGTGACAGCCCTCTATAACAAAGTCGCACAAAGTCGCACTGAGAAACTGCCTTTGATACAGAGAGCGCATCCTCGCTCAAAGTCACTGTTTTTGCTCCAATTTTATAATCTGGAGAGTTTTTAAGTCGTTTGTAAGTAGTATCAAATATTGGTATCAGCTATCTTGTTGATTGATGTCAGCTTATGAGAAAGTAATAACTCCGTATTTAGTGGTTGATATTCGTCGGTTATGTTAGGTGCTTGTTAAAGGTTGAATGTTGCCAACAGCTGACGTTAAAACTTGTTTTTTTAAACTAAAGCCATCTCACCTGACAGAAAGAGGGGAAATAACTAAAACCCAATAAACAAAAGAATATGGACTGGTATCAGCACCAACTGTCAGGCTAAATATCACTTTATAACATAGACTGTATAAAAAGGATGTCTGAATAGTAAAGTTACCTTGGCCAGCAGTGTGAAACTAAGTGCAGAAGAAAGCCCATCTATAAAACTGTCTACAAGAAAATGGCCCTCGGGTCGCTGATCTGTGGCCTCAGTAAACACGTTCCTGATGAGTTTATGGTCATTAGTTTTAGTTTCAAGTCATATTTATTACAACACAATGTTCCTTTTTGAATTACGGTCCCCATTAGAGTCAAAAAGGACGATAAAGACGCCGTTTGCTTTACAGCAGGCCCACTTTGTGATTTACAAGCGCTACCATATTGGAGTCAGAGCCCCTTGGTTTTTCAGTCAAATCCACCCATCTTTTTTATACAGTTTATGCTTTAAACACTAGTATCAA